CCTGTAAAAGGATTTTTAATCTTTTTTTTTTTTTGCAGCTACCCAAGAAGCAGAATGAAGAGCAGCAGGAAGAGTGAGAGCTGAAACTTGTGGAGAACAAGACAAACCAAATCTCCTGCTCTGCTTTTCATGTATCTTTTTGCACACTTTTGAAAATGAAACCTATACCTATCTGATAAGTGCCTGTCGGAGGATCAGCAAGTTACAGTTTATATTTTGAAGAATTTTACTATCGGCATCATCTAAGCAAGTAATTTGGTTTACTCATTGCGTATTCTGCTTTATATCAAGGCTTGTTTTAATTGTCTAACTTCCAGCCTTAACAGATAAACTCTAAGACGGATTTAATTTACTCTGAATTAGTTTTTTTTTTTTTTTTTTTGTATTAACTGTACAAGCTACGTCACGGCTGATTAAGAACGCCGAGAACATCAAAGACAGACACATGACTTTGTCGGTGTGCATTTGTCGAACTTAATCTTTACCTTATTACTTCAGCCAAGGACGTTTTGTTTTCACCCGCTGTTCTCCAGTTCCTTCGAAGTATTTCTCAGTGTTCCTGTCGGTTTCTGCATCTTTGTGTAACCTAAAGCACTTTGATAGATTATTTTGTTTAAAAAAAAAAAAAGGGCTTGAGGAACAGATTTGATAAGTTTATGCATCCTTGACCGAGAGCAGATTAACGGTATTATTGAACATGTGTCTTTTTATACTGTTGAACATTTGTCTTTAATAATTTGTCTGTAACTACTCAGTAATATTTAGATTTTTTAAAAATCTTACCTATATACCTATATATGTGATGTTATGATGACATGTGTTTTGAAGCAGTGTCTCCTGTCTAATGTTCTTTTGCGTAGTTTTGAGAGACGTTTTGTTTTGCTCCTCCGATTAAGATTTATTAAGATAAAGATTTTGTGTGTAACATAGGGGTCCACTTTAGAAATGCATATAAACTAGGCAATCACAGACGGTTGAGTCGGCACGTTTTGCATTTTCTGACCAACAACCTCAAAGTAGGGAACAGCAGCTGAGCAGTGAAATCACCTGATGTGGTGTTCGGTTGGACTTTAGCTCCTCGTGGGACACAGCTGACTCTTCCTGTTTGAACTGTCTTGATGCTCCCAGTCTTGTGTGATTATTAAATGTTTTAATGAGGATATCGATGGTTTCATGGCAGCAGTTTGTGTTTAGTCAGTGCTGTTTTATACCCATTTCTCAGCTACTTCAGTTAACCAGGGATGTTACCAAACTGGTAGGAAGCTTTGTACAACACATGAAGGATGGTAAATGCTGCGAGTGAGCTACATTTTCTGATGTATCTGATGTACCAGGATTTCTGAATCCCGCTTTAGTTTAGTTGTGATTATTACAACCATGAAACAGACAACATACTGAGTGTTATGGGGGGAGCTGAAATAGTCAGGATCATGTCTTGCAAACTAAACTGCTATTGTAGTTTTTGAAATCTTGTCTAAGAATCAACATAAAACCTGTTTTTAGGACAAACACACTGAGGTTGTATACTCTGTATTTGTGGGTGGAATTTCCAGAGTTTAATGCTAGTAAAAAAAATCAACATGGTTGGCACCTTTGTAGGCCAGTTACAGTATTTTCACACAAAATAGGTCAACAGAATAAAGTATTAAGCATTTCTCCACCAGTATTCTATCGCTGGACACATGGAGAAGTATTTTAAAAAAGCAGTCAAGCCTTCATAATAGGAAACAAAATCCCATTGGTTTGATTTTCCAGGCCTGTAATTTGATTTACATTACTTAGGAAGTTTCCTGGAAATACAGTTGTCTGCAAGAGTCGGGGCACCCCTGGGAAAATTACACGGTTTGTGGGTTTTTGAAGTGAAAAGAGATAATTAGAATGCAGCAGCAAACAGACATTAAAACTGTCACTTTTTATTTCTCTAACAAACCAAAAATTAAACCGTAAATGTGGCATCAGCTTTGGCAGACACCACCCCGTGCAGATGCTTTTTGTAGCCAGATAAGAAAGTCTTTATTTAGGTGTTTTCTCTTCCATAGACATTATCTCAAGCGTTTAGATATTTGCAGGCTGTCTTGCACATGCGGCATGTTTAAAATCTACCCACAGATTTCCAGTGATGTTCACACCGGGGACTGACGGGCATTTTTCCTTCTCCGTGCCCAGCGTTTCAGCTGGTTGCCACTAAACCCCAAAGCAGAATGTTTACACGTCTATCCTTAACAGTTGGCAAATGGCTCCTTCAATCAAATGCTGCTCACTTCTTCTCTGAACTCTTGTTTGATTATTGTGGTCAAAGGGCTCAAATTTAACTTCATCTGTCCACAGCATTTGTTTCCAAAACAGCTGTGGCATATCCAGATATTGATTTGTGTATGGCGCACACTGACTTTTGTGATGAAATCACAGTTGAGTTTGCCTTTGCTGACTCTTCCTTGTAGATCCTGCTTGGTGCAGAGTGGAAAGGTGCATGATCACTTCTGTGTCAGCTAACCCTTCCTGCAGCTCCCTTCTAGTCATGTGGTGGTTTTAGTTTCATTATTGTTGCGCTATCGTGGGAAAAATGCCCATTGCATTTCTTTAAAACAACCACACTCGTCTTGGGCAGTGCTAAGTCCAAGGTGCAGCAACGGCGCCCTTGCAAATTATTGACGGGGTGTTGTTTCGCTGAAAACTTGCACAGAGAGAAGTGAACACTGACTAAAATGGAAAACCAAACAAGCAAGGCTGCCGTTCTTGTATGACCCAAATCTTTGTTACAACTCAACATTGTCAGTGTGTTTGGTCGCAGCTCAGATGTTTTCCATAGTGGAGAGCATTATCTGTGTGAAATGCATGGAGAAAATGGCAGGCCTATACCTAAAGTCAGCATCTGGTGATCCAGACTAATCATCTTGTTGCACGTTCTGCTGCAAGGTTTCCCAGCAGAACGTGCAACAAGACTAATCATCTTGTTGCACGTTCTGCTGGGAAACCTTGGGTCCTGGCATTCATGTGGTTCTCACTTTGACAAGTACCACCCACCTAAACATTGCTGCAGACCAAGCGCTCTCCCCATGGCAACAGCAGCAGCCTTCCCCCAGCAGGACAATGTGCCCTGCCGCACTACAAAAACTGCTCAGGAGCGGCTCGAGGAACCCAACAAAGACCTCTAAAGCCTTGGCCTCTGAACCCTCCAGAATCCGACCTAGCCTCCATTGGATGCCAGACACCACAGAACAGCCCCAGAAGTCCCATGTCCATGTCTTGGTGGGTCACAGGTGTTTTGGCAGCAGGTAGTCTGACTCACTAAACGTAGGCTATGGGTATAAGCTGTTCATTTTATGTGGCTTTCTCTTCTCCTTCCACTACCCGTGTGTTATCGTTGTTGAAATCCCCTTTGCTATCATCAACAACCACCTCTGGGCTATCAAGGTACAAGGTGGAAATTTCAAGTCTTGCTTTAGGTTTGGTTCCTGCATCATATTCCACAAAAACAACTCCTGATTACTTTTTTATTGGGACACCATTGCTGCATCCTGGGCTTAGGCACCGCCCAACATGATTGTGATGGTTGGCTTATAGAAATACAAACAAACCAGAGCATTCATTTCTCCCGGTATAAAAAAATGATATTGAGGTGCCGCCAGAGCATTCTGCGCAGGGCTTTGTCAATGCTAGAGAAGGATCTGACTGTGTTAGACTAGGCAGCACCAGGATGTTGTTTCTGATCACCATATTTACAGTTTGTGATTTCCAGTTTGTTCTGTCTAAATAAATAAAACTGAAAAATCCAAATCTTTGTTTGTTGTCTGAATAGAGCTGAGGACTGTACTATGAAGCAAGTTTGACAGAGCCAGGCTTTCTTTGTGTAAGTCGGCTCGACAAAAAACAAAACCCAAGCCAGAGATCACAGGTATCACGAAGGTGGTCATCAACTTTCTTTTTCAACTCAGACTTTCTGCTTCAGACTTTGTGTACGTTCACATAAAAAGGGGCGTTTAACGTGTCACGTGACTCTCCTGCACAAAATGAAACGATCGTGTGCAGCTGCAGTGGTGAATATTTTACAAAAAATCTCACTGTAAAAAGTGTCGCTACTGCAAATGGTGCAAGAATTAAATGCTGCTAGAAAACTGTCAATGTGTTAATATATAATATTTTACTGATGCAGCCGGTTATTTCCAACTGACAGCTGCACGTTAGAGTTAAACTTTAAACTTGATATATTTTAACCTGATCTTGTATTGAAGTACATTTAGGTCTGACACTGTCCCATAATGAAGGATATCACTTTAATTTTTGGCCAAATCAAAGCGAAATTAATGTTATTGATTACTGAATATTCTCTGTAATAAATACCAGTAGAATAATCCATTTTCCGTGTCCTGTCAGCTGCAGTACCAGCAGTGTAAACAGACTTGACAGCAAATCACAGCCAAACATGAAATCATATTTAGGTGATTTCTGCATAGCCAACTAATAGGTTGGGTTCCCATGGTAACCTGATGTTTACAGTGTGTGATGCTGTAACTACAGGGCTTCATTCAGTGATATTAGTAAAACACAGCTCAGCATGTTTACAAATAAAACACATTCCCTCAGCTGAGAATCTGTCTCGCTCATAAATAATAGTAAACTATTTGGTGAAAAGAGACGCTCTTTCAGCTACTTTAAATCCTAAACTCTGAACATAGCCTGCTCCCCGCCAGGTTAGCTCCACAGCATCAGTTACCATGGAGATCGAGCCAGGTAAACAGAGAGCCACAGAGAGACTTTACACACCTCACTAGCCCACTAATCTCACTTCGTAGTTCAGCCCTCTGCTTAAAATGCACTGACAACAGCATCAAGGACACGAGTTTGAGTTTTGTGAAACACTGGCACTAATCACCCTCCATACCGAGCCGCTGTTTCACGTCCTCCCGCACAGCGGCGCGCTCCGAATGAGCGCCGGGAGCAGCCGGAGACACGCAGGGGGCGGAGTTACACCTTTGAGTGGGAATCCTCTGTTCAAAAAGCTGCCAACGTCCACTTGGATGAGATTGTTTTCTGCTTTCGCTGCTGCTGCTCCAGAGACGACTAAAGAGGAGCGAAATATGCTCTGAACAAGCGGGGAAACTGCTTCACTTTCTTTGACTCCGAATTTTTAAAAAAACAAAAAAAAAAGTTTGGGAGAAAGTGTAGAAAGAAAGAAAAAAGAAGAAAAACAAGCTGCGAGTCGTGCAGGTGGAACACGTTGCTGACCGGGGAACCACATCACAGCGGACCAGAGCTTCTCGTCTCACCTGAGGCCGAGCACGAAGAGTGAAAATGTCCCTGGAGACGTATTCGGCGCTGGACGAGTCCGCCCTGCGAGCCCTGGTGAGTCCATGAAGCGCTCTCGTCTGTTTCTGGTCGTTTTAAACCGCCGGCACCATTTATTGAAGTGGGACTGGTTGAGAAGAAGCTCTTTACTGTTTACTGTGAGGCTCATAATTGTCTCTTAAAGTGTCACAAACACCCAAAGACACAATATGTTGACTGAAGAGCAGCCAACAGTTTCTGTTTTTCCTGCCAGTCTGTCTCTGTTTCAGTAACGACACCTGACAGGTAGGATGTGCAGCATTAAGGTTAATCCTGACAGGTGGTCTGCACACACACACACACTGCTGCTGCTTTATGTTGCTCTGTCTGCACACTGAACCCTCCCTGTCTCAGCCCAGATGAGTGTGAAGTGTATTTACAGAGTTTAGTAGATTGAGGGGGAAAAAAATGAATTACTGGAAGTTCTTAACAGGAGGATAATTGTTTAGGTTAAAATACCAACACTTGCTGATTCCAAATGTGAAGATCTGCTGCTTTTATGTCATTTTTATTCAGTACAATTGAAAATTTAGGCTTAAAAAAAGGCTGATCCTGAATATTAATAGAAGTTTTTCTACTTCAATCAATTAAATCAACTACTCAATTAATTGTCACCAATTTAAATAATCGATTACTTGGTTTGAGACTTTTTTAAGGCATAAAGGTCAAAATTGTTGGATTCCTTCGTTTCAAATTTGAATGTTTTCTGGTTTCTATGTTAAATGGTGCACAATTGTATAGTTTGTTTGCTTTTTAAACCTTGTGTTTCTCACCCAGTCACACTCACACTCATGGTTTCTTTGCTCCTCTGTGACACTAAACTGAATATTAATGGGTTGAGCACAAATCAAGACACTGGAAACATGATCTTGAGCTTTTGATTGACATTTTTCACCATTTTCTAATGTTTAATAAACCAAACAACTAATTGATTAATTGAGGAAATTATCTACAAATTAATTGACAGTGAAATTAATATTTAGTAGCAGCACATTATTTCATTCATACCTCAACTGTTGGTTGTAGAGTTAGAATGACAAATAGTTTCAAATCTATAAAAAGACTTTATCTTTATGACAAAATAATTATAAAGGTTGTCTGCTGCTGAAGTTATGAGACGGTGTGTCATAAGCGTGAGCAGCAGATCGGTGCTGATAAGACGAAGGTGTCATGTGGTAGAAAGTCTAGGAAGTGTTACAGTCGCTGGTTTACAGTCACGTTAGTCACGGCGCAGTTATTTCCCGAGGCAGAGGAAGGTGAAGCATTCATCTGTCAAACACATACATCATGACACCTGTAAGACCGACACATTTACAAGGACGCGTGAGTCAACCTGTCCTCGCTCAGACGCACTTACAGTGAGTTTGTCTGAATCACAGCAACAATCGGACATGATCCATCTGGTAGAGGTATTCATACTTAAGTTTTTTATTTGGCATTAGCTAACACCGAGAGAGAGAGGGAACAAAAAGATGATTCTTCTGTATGTTTATATTTACCCATCAGGTCTGTTGCTGATCAGCTGTCACATGAACCCTCTGAACTCCAAGCAGTTTTTGGGTGTTTCCTTTTTTTTTTGTCACATTTTTACCCACAATTTCTGTCAAGTGACTGCTGATGACAGTTTATGGCTTCTTAATTAAGGAGAATTTTTAGTGTTTTTTTTTTTTTTACAGAACCCAATCAGAGAAAAATGGTGAGTTTTTAAATGTGACGCGTACAGTAGTTTCCTTACATCACATACGATTGGTTCAAGGACCATCAGAAAGTTGAACATCCAGTCATTCCGTCTTTTTTTTTTTCTGACTTTGATAGCTTTCCTTTCCAAACCGCCGGAGGGTTTGGGGGGTTTCAGAGGGTTTAAACCAGACTTGTCTGTATGTGACTTCACTGTTCGGTCTAGCTGATTTCCCAAGAATGTGTACTTCAGGAGGAGCCCGTCGCAGAAAAAACATTTTGATTACTGTTGTTGGAGATCAGTAAACCTGACAAGAAAAGGCTGTTTACTTTGGAACCATGTGGGCAGCGTATACATGCAATGTTTAGTTGACCTGTGTGGCTGCTATTTAAACCGAATCCATTATTTCCCCAAAGTCTGGAATCGTCTGGCCAACATCTACAGTCTTCTCATAAATTACTAAAGGACAAACTTTTACTACGAGTGTCGTTATACTAGTGGGAGAGCAGGAGCATGTTGAGGAATTGATATTTTTTTCCTTCAGGATTTACTTTTAACCGAAACATTGGTGGCTTTGATCAGTTGGTTTATGAGTTTATTTATAGACGAGCAGAGCAGGAAAAATGAGTCAAACCGAGGACGGAGGAGGAACGACTGACTGGTCACTACGGATTCTGGCGTAAATACAAAAATATTACTGCTTAATTTATTGGAGCTCCACTCTGACAGGTGTTCGAGAACCTTCTTACATACATCAAACCTCCATTGTTTTCAGAGAGCTCGGCTGAATCTTCCTGTGTGGCCTGTTTCCTTCAACAACTTTCTATAAATTGCGAGTCCAGAGAGCTGCAACACCGGAATTGATGGCTTTTATCTTCACGTGACAGACATTGCTCAGAGAAGGATTCGAAAATGCCTCGTCGCTCCGGATTCCCCGCTGCTTTCCCTCCCCTCACATGTGACCAGCAGCTAGAAGGTCACCCAGATCCCACATTTTCACTGATGATGTTTGCGGTGACTCGAGTGTCAGCGTTTTCCACAGCAAACTCGGAAACAAACTGCTCGGAGGAGAAGTTCATACGAGGCCGTGATGAAATTTAAATTAAGCCCGACAGATCTGAATGAAACCTTTTGTGTTTTTGTGAAACATAACGCCCGTAGTCTGTGGCGTTTAGAAGCGTGTGTGAATTAGGAGTCGTTTTTTTTTAATGACGCCAGTAAAAGATGATGGACATTTTGGAGATGCCCGAGTTTAATTAAAACTGGCAGTAAATCCGGGTGGAGGAGCTGCTATTAAACAACAGTTGGATAACGAACACACACACACACACACTCCAGGGTTGTGTTGTACTTAATGAACTAAACAGTCAGAAGGTCATATGGCGGCCTCTCTAACGCCGCTAATCCCATCGCTACACTTCTATTCAAAGCTCAGGCTGCCTTTTATATCGCTCATTTAATCCCCTCCATGGCAACCAGGAAAAGCATTTTTCTTTTCTCTTGGCTGCCACCATTATTTAAATATCCACAAAAATAAGCAGTTGGTGTCCCAGTTTCCTTGGGAGAGGAGCTGAGAGGATGTTTGCTGCGGGTCATCTGTCTGAAAGGAGCTCCTGTGGCCACAAAGACACCGACGCTGCCGTGAAAGCTCTTTCCAGCCGAACCACTCCAACCACTGTCACTTAATAGCAGACTTTATCAGCTGATTGCGCGCTTGGAGGCTGATGATTATCGTGCTCTCTGAATCACGCTGCGTGGGAATCGTTTGCGAAACCCGCAGGACGAGTCGGGTCTGCAGGTGTCTGCTGTTGTGGCACTTGTGCATCTGTCTGCATAGCTAAGAATAAGGTCTGACTCTGGCGTCTGTCAGCCACACCATCATCTCCCTTCTAATTATCTCTGAAACGCCCCAGCTGCCCTGCAACTCAGGAGGAATGCAGCAAAAAAAAAATGTGACACAAGCGTTTGCATTCAAATCCCATTGTCTTGCAGTTTGTTAATGCACAACTTGGCCTTTTAAATTTCTGAATTGACGTGACCACTTGAAGGCTTTTCCGCCGGCGGCGCCTGGAGGCCTGATTTCACATGCTGGATGACTCGCACAATGATTTGTAACCAGTCTTGCCAGCCCTGTGACTGTCCTTTCTCCCTGGTGAGCGAGAGGCATTCACACATGTTTAAAATAGGCCAATTTCACTCTGTGGTCCAGCCTCGCTGATATATGGGACCCCTGGGCCTTCGTTTTATGGCTCTCTGGACCCTTTGTGAGTTGACGAGAGCTCAACGGTTACAGTCGGAGAGGAAGAATGGGTTTGTTTTGCAGGATCTCGCTATAGACGCCAGATTCTTCTTACCCTCCTGAGACGGGGTCCGAAATGTCAGCCTCATCATCGGGAATAAATCGGAAACTTTATGCGACGCTGCATACCTGTTGTCTGGGACATTTTCACATGTATGTGCAGCATGTTTCTTTAGGCTCAAAGCACAAATTATCAGGCACTCTGGTTGTAAAAGCATCTTATTTGTTTTTATATCATGATATAGCTTAAATTGTAGATGACATCTTTGTGTAAGGATGCTGCAGAGTCGTCTGAAGTCCTTTCCAGCTGTTGCATGCAGCAGATCTTCTTTTTAATACGGCTGCCCTCTCTCACATAAACAGACAAAGGTGAGAAAAGAGTCTGAATTGCTTTACGCTCCTGATAACACCTTCTGGGATTTATGATCATAGCTGCCTTTGACCGCTGTGGATGTTTACACAGCGGGTTGTGTAGGTGTGGAGTGTGAAAACAAAGTTGTTCACACACAGCACACCTGATTCCTGTTTCTGCCCAGTCTGTCATCATTCTCACAGGTATTTACTCCGGCAGCATTTCCTGTATGATTAGGTTTCAAAGGCGAGGAGCTAATGAAGACATGAGATGTGAACGCTTTCAGGGCAGATCCGTCTGAGCTGACACAGTTCACTGACAGAGTCCATCACAGTCCACATGAATGGGGGGCAGAGAGATAACAAGCTGCATGTTTGTTTGCTAAAATGGGAAACTCTTGTTGCTGAATGCTGCTATAAATAGCCGATCATATTTTGGCTCCGAAAGGATGAGAAAAGAAAAAAAAAAAAGCCTTGAACTTTGAGATGATCGGCTTTTTGACCTTTAAGTGAGTTGTTGCTGCGGAACAAAAATAATTTGGAGTGAATGTAGCACGACTTCAGATGCATTTTAGCCGAGATTTACTGCTCGTTCCAAGGCGAAAGTTGAATCTGGGTTCAGTGTGCCATATTTCCATATTAAAGTAGACACTTGGTATTGTTATGCTACTTGGAAAGGTTTGATATTTC